AAGAGCAATTTCAGGAACAGGTGAATGAACAACAACCAAAAACAACAACCCCACCCGTACTTGTTTCTTGGTTGTTTTGTTTTGGTTTTTTTTGGGGGGGGGTGGAGGGTGTGGTAATCGAAGAAGGGGGGGTTTTTTCCCTTGCTTTAAAAAAAAAAGGCCTTTCCCCCCCCCCCCCCCCCCCGTCCTCAAAGAGTTACAAAATGGATGCAGTTGGAGACAGACGCATCCTCAAAGGACTTGAATGCAGAAAATGTAAAGATTGTTCTACTAGGGGAGCGGAGCGTTACACCTTTGCTCCTTTTCCCCCACACTCTTGCTTTGATTGACAGCAGGTCCTCTGGGTTCTCCCACCAGCTATTATCGATTGATTTATTAAATTTGTACGCTGCCCATCTCGCTAACAAGCGATTCTGGGTGGCTTGCTATGCCATAAATAACAGAAAAATAGCCACAGCCCGCAGACTTCTATACTGCTTCACAGGGCTTTACGGGCCTCTCTTAAGCGGTTCACAGAGTCAGCCTCTTGCCCCCCCCCCCCCAACCATCTGGGTCCTCATTTTACCCACCTCGGAAGGACGGAAGGCTGAGTCAGCCTTGAGTCACATCAGGTTCGAACTGCTGGCAGTGAGCAGAATCGGCTTGCAATCCTGGATTTGAACCGTTGCGCCACCACACCTCTCAAACAATTAAGAGGATTAAAAACTTTAAAACATTGGGCGTTGAAAGTTAAAACAATAAAGCTAATATATTAAAACTGATAAAAAAAGAACCAGGGCTTGGACACAGAACGGAGATGGGAATCTTCTACTAATTTATTAGCCAGCTCCAAAAAATGGGGCGTCCCCATCGGGGCCCCAAACCAGTTGGTAGAACCAGGGTTTCAGGCTCTTTGGGCAGGCCCGGGGGGGGGGGGGGGGGGGGCAAGAGGCTGACTCTGTGAACCGCTTAAGAGAGGCCCGTAAAGCCCTGTGAAGCAGTATAGAAGTCTGCGGGCTGTGGCTATTTTTCTGTTATTTATGGCATAGCAAGCCACCCAGAATCGCTTGTTAGCGAGATGGGCAGCGTACAAATTTAATAAATCAATCGATAATAGCTGGTGGGAGAACCCAGAGGACCTGCTGTCAATCAAAGCAAGAGTGTGGGGGAAAAGGAGCAAAGGTGTAACGCTCCGCTCCCCTAGTAGAACAATCTTTACATTTTCTGCATTCAAGTCCTTTGAGGATGCGTCTGTCTCCAACTGCTTCTTTTTTGTAACTCTTTGGGGGGGGGGGGGGGGGGGGAGGAGAAAGGCCATTTATTTTTAAAGCAAGGGAAAAAACCCTCCCAGCTTCGATTACCACAACCTCCATCCCCCCCCAAAAAAAACCAAAACAAAACAACCAAGAAACAAGTACGGGTGGGGTTGTTGTTTTTGGTTGTTGTTCATTCACCTGTTCCTGAAATTGCTCTTGCGACAGGCAGTCGATCAAGTCCACGCAACCGAGGAGACAGCTGGAGGGATAATCCTTGGGAAATTCCAAATCTGCGGGTAGAGCGGGAGAGAAAATTATAAGGCAGGCTCACGCATGGGCCTCCAGTTTCTGCCGTTCTCCACATGGTCCTGATTAGCCTTTGCCAGCCCGCGCGTGGGCTCACGCCAGGCTACTTTCAACTGCTAATTTAATGGTTTGGATAAAACGCAGGCGTTCTGAGGGAGCCCTGCCTGTAAATACCCACTTGTGGAGAAAGGATGTCATGCCCCTGGTGGAGACTGGAGGGAGAGGAGGAACAGCCAACAGGGAGTGGTGTGGCTCCGGAGGTTGTGGAGGAGGCTGGGCAGTCAGAGGAAGAACCAGGCCCATCCTCTCTTCATCCTAGGACACGCAGAGAGGAACGGAGAAGGGAACAACTTGGCTTGCGAGAGAGGAAGCGGCCATGATCCCCCCCTCATTGGTGGCAGCTGGGGGGAACAGTATAACGGAGGGACGTTTAAAACACAGCGTTGCCAGAAGCAAAGCGTGTTTTATTCCTGGATGAGGCTTATCTTGGTTGCCTGAACGGACTGTGCCTTGTTATCTTCTTGAAGTTTGTAATTAATTATCCCGGTCTGTCATGGAACTTTCTTCAGTGCTTTGTTTTTGGTTTTTTATTGCTCCATTATCTGCCCTTTGAGTTTGGACTGTATTTCTTTCTTTTGGAATATTATTTTGGAAAGAGTTTAATCTCCAACTGCAAACAATTGAACAGTGAAGCCAAGTTGGAGGCAATAAAGGAAATTTATTACGTGTGTGCTGTTTCCTGGGTCATCACAAAGGAGTTCACGGCTGCATCGCAGGGACGTTAACGTCAAGGACGTTAAGCCCGACTTTAAGCCAAGAACTTCCAAATTTCAACTGTTATCCTTCCGGTCACTATACAGGTAGTCCTCGACTTACGACAGTTCATTTAGCAACCATTTGAAGTTACAACGCCGTCATTGAAAAAAGGGACAGGTCTATTTATCACGCTTACAGCTGGTGTGGCATCCCCCTGGTCAGGAGATTTTACGTTCGGATGCTTGACCACTGACTCGCATTTATGACGGTTGCAGTGTGGTTCCCGGGGTCATGTGTGATCCCCTTTTCGCGACCTTCTGACAAGCGAAGCTGATGGGGAAGCCAGATTCACTTAACAACCGTCTGACTAGTTTAACGACGGCAGCGATTCACCTAACAAATGTGGCAAGGAAAGTCGCAAAATGGGTCAAAGCTCACTTAACCATTTTTTCACTGAACAACAGAAATGTTGAGGTCAATTGTGGTTGTACGTTGAGGACTGCCTGTATAATCTCCCCCAGCTTAAGGTGACCCTTTTCAGGCTCATGTTGTGTTATGCAGGCCTTCAACACTTTCTTCAGGGCTAAGAAACGCCCACTCCGTCGAACCCATTTCCTGCCTTCCGATTGTCAGATGCAGGTGACAAAGTTTCTGTCTTGAGAAGCTCACAAGACGTACTTGAGGGGAATTGAGAAATAAAAAAGGTGAAAGGACCCACAGGATGGGGGGAGAAATGGGGCTCTTGAAAAATTGTATGTTGGGCTATAAAAATGCAAAAAAGAAATAAAGATGTGGAGTCATGCAATGAACTAATAAGCCAGAGGATATGTGTCGAATTTCACCCTGCTAGGGTGGTTTGTGGTTTCACACACTGCATAACAACAGTCAATTTCAGGTCAATGTTCCTTGTTAAATAATCCATGGCTTTACATGACATAAATGTCACACGTTCATAAATAAGACATGTTACGGGATCTTCTCTTTCTCCCTTCCCGTTTCTTGCCCCGTGGCTATCTTTTCTCTCAAGATCTCCTTTCCTTTTAGAGCAACGTCTTGATACCAATCGAACCAAGATAAGTCAGCTTGGTTGTTTTGAAACCACTTCCCCTGTGTGGTCGTTTTCATACATTGGAGAGTCAAACTGAAATGTTATATCATCGCAATAATGGAGTGAGAAGATGAAAAGAGCAAAGAGAGTACAAACACAAAGAATGGCACCGAAGTGGGGGGGAAAAAGCACAACGTTTTTGTGGAAACATTTTGAGCACCTATCCTTCCAGAGCACTATAAGCTAAAAACAGCCCTCTTAACTGTTTCAAGATATAAACAGACATAAAACGTAATTTTAAAAAGTAAATGAAAATAAATATATAAAACAGACATAAACTGTTTCAATTCCTTCCTTCGGGACAGCGCTGTAGGGCCTTGTATGCCAAGGCAACTAGACACAGGGACCGTTTTTTCTCTCGTGCCATCACTCTTCTGAACACCTAAATCTCACAGTTCTTTCTATTGTGTACATGCATCAAACCCAAAAAGAGGTTGAGATTCTAGAAAAAGTGCTGAGAAGAGTATCAGGATGATTAGGGGACTGGAGGCTAAAACATATGAAGAACGGTTGCAGGAACTAGGCCTGGCTAGTCTAGGGAAGAGAAGGACTGGGGAGACAGGATAGCAGTCTTCCAATATTTGAGGGGCTGCCACAGAGAGGAGGAAGGGGTCAAGCCAAGGAATGATGGATGGAAACTGAACAAGGAGAAATTCAACCTGGAAATAAGGAGGAATTTTCTGACAGTGAGAGCAATCAGCCACAAAGCTTTCAAGAAGAGACTGGACTGCCATTTGTCAGAAATGGTGTAAGATCTCCTGCTTGGGTGGGACTAGATCAGTAGTCGCCAACCAGTGGGCCGGGGATTACTGGTGATCCGTGAGAAAATGTTGGTGGTTCACAGAGAAATGTCACCCCAAAGCAATTAATCCAGGCTGTGCGGGAACACAAGACTGCGCCGCCCTCATGGCCCGTGGGAACACAGAGCTTGCATCATTTGCACTGCGAACATGAGGTAGTGAGGGGAGGGGGGAAAGGGCAGAGGGAGGGAACTTGCCCCACTTGCCCCACACACCTGGCCTGGCCACCGGGCTGCTTCTTCCTGCTTCTTTCTTCTTCTGCTTTTGGCTGCACGCAAGGAAAGCAGCAAAAGTCTTTCTTTCTCCCCCACAAACTCCACCAGAAATGAGTCTTTGGGACCCTGCAAGGCCTCCTGCTCCAAGAAGTTGCACCAGCAAAGACTCATTTTTGGCGGAATTTGGGGCAGAGAAAGACTTCTGCTGCTTTCCTTGCATGAAGCCAAAAGTCTCTCTCTCTCTCTCTCTCTCTCTCTCCCCCTCTCCCTCTCTCTCCCCCGAGAACGGAGCTGGAGACGGTTTCTTGCAATCCCAAATAAAGAATGATCGATCGGTAGGAAAACGGGATGGGGAATTTTCCTGCAGACTTTTTGGGGGATTTTCCCAGGGTCTCTGGTCCACGGGATTTAAAATTATGAGTTTGGTGGTCCCTGAGGTCCAAAAGGTTGGCAACCCCTGGACTAGATGACCTACAAGGTCCTTTCCAACTCTGTTAATCTGTAATCACTGCTGCTTTAGTATTAGTATTTATCCTTCTTATCTTCTTTACTTCTCCCTTTTATTATGGTTCGTCGCAGTCAGACAAATGTTCAGCCTGGATTTGGCATTTCTGTCTACCTATCAAGTCCTTTCCAAGGACCTGGGATAGGCTGATGTGGAATATTACTATCATTACCCCAATGCTTCTGTACCGGAGATAAATTCCGTGTGTGTCTAATCACACTTGGCCGAATAAAGTATTCCACTTCAACTTTTTTTTCTTCCACTTTCCTACTAGCCTCCAGAGAAAAGAAGCCCAACAAAGATAAAGGATTACGCTCACCTTCCTGAAGCAACCTTCTGTAGGTAGCCTCCAGCTCAGAGATTTCCTGGGGGGTTGGCCTTTTTGCCGTGGCTGCTATCCATAGCCGGCCTCTGTGGGATGTGTACCAAATTCGGCCTTCCACCCTGTGGAAGAAAAGGGAAGGATCAGAAACGGAGGCTGCCTCCCCATGTTTTTTGTTTTTTTTTACATGTCACTCAAGGAACATTTTCTTTGAAAACCACTACATGAAATTCTGGGTCAACCTTTAGGCCAAACTGAGTCTCTACTTGAAAGTCTCAAGTGATGAAGCTCCCACAACTTCCGAGGGCAACTTTTGTTCCATGGGTTGATTGTTCTGTCAGAAAGTTTCTCCTTATTTCCAGGTTGAATCTCTCCTTGTTCAGTTTCCATCCGTTATTCCCTGTCTAGCCTTTGGGTGCCTTGGAGAATAGCTTGACCCCTTCCCCTCTGGGGCAGCCCCTCAAATATTGGAAGACCGCTATCCTGTTTCCCCTGGTCCTTCTCTTCACTAGACCATCCAGGTCCAGTTCCTGCAACCGTTCTTCGTATGTTTTCGCCTCCAGTCCCCTCATCATCCTGGTTGCTCTTCTCAGCACTTTTCCTAGAGTCTCAACATCTTTTTTATAGCATGGTGACCAAAACTGGATGCAGTACTCTAGGTGTGGTCTTACTAAGGCTTTATAGAGTGACCTTAATACCTCCGTTGATCTCAATTGTATCCCTCTGTTAATGCAATTTAGGATTGCATTAGCCTCAGCAAAGGAGGAGGAAATGGCCATGATGGAAGGGCGGGGAGTCCTTAAAAAGATTGACAAACAAGGAGATGGACAGAAGAGCCGAGATCTTCCAAACAGGTAGAGGCAGTTTGACATCTTCCCAGTTTGTCCAACAGAAACTGATGTTTATCCCTGCATATTTACCCGGGAATAATAGAAACATTTTTTTTAATATTGGAAAAAAGGGTTCTTTGTGGGCAGGAGGGAATTCTCCCTCTAGAGCTCTTTCTAGTCTCAGGAGACAACCAAGAAAGAAAGAAAGGCCGAGCAGCCAATATATAATATCTACGGGTATAAACTAAACCCAATAAAATGAGGGGAAAAAATCCAGGGCTTAATTTGTAAAAAACAGATGAAAGTCACAGCCCCATTGTACTTTTAAAGGCATGTTTATTTCCCACCAATGCAAAACTCTCGGGATGGTTGGGCTTTTCACTTCGAACCACTGACCTTTAAAATAAGAAGGTTGTTTAAAACCCCTGAGAATCTAGGCTGGCGGGGAGGGAGGGAAGGACCGTCTTACAGTCACCATCGTTTTCTTTGGGGGGGGGGAAAGGAGCGAGGCAAGAGCTACTCTGCTTATATGTAGCGGCTCAACTGGCATTAAGCCCCTTTCCTCTAAGGAGCTCAGAACACTAAATACAGCCAAGCCATCTTTATCATTTGGTTAACTGCAAAAGACAGCGAGGAAGAAGGGCAAGAGCATAATACTTTTCATTTAATGGCCAAGCACCATTTGAAAATGAACACCTCTGGGTCCAAGAATACCTCACCCAATGTATCCAAGCGGGCAGTGGTGGGATTCAAAAATTTTTTACTACCTGTTCTATGGGTCTGCCTTGGTTGGGCGTGGCAGGGGAAAGTTACTGCAAAATCCCCCTTCCCTCCCCACCCCACTAACCTACTTTCCAGCTCCGTTCTCCTGTGCAGGGCAACTAAAGAAGACAGTAGGGGGATTCTAATTTTTTTTACTACTGGTTCTGTGGCTTGGTGAGCATAGCACAGGAAGGATACTGTAAAATCTCCATTCCCTCCCTACTCCAGGGGAAGGTTACTGCAAAATCCTATTCCCTCCCCACCCCACTAACCTGCTTTCTAGCTCCGTTCTCCTGTGCAGGGCAACCAAAGAAGACCCGGCCGATCAGCTGGGACTCAGGAGGTGGAGAATAGATGGGGGCGGGGCCTGTCAAAGGTGGCATTTGCCAGTTCTCCGAACTACTCAACATTTCCCCTACCGGTTCTCCAGAACTGGTCAGAACCTGCTGAATGCCACCTCTGCAAGCGGGGTCCTCATTCATTCACACAATCCTTGTTGATGCAAGTGTGGCCAAGGAATCAGCTGACTGTCCCTTAAGATTATTTTTGACATCCAGCCCTTACAAACTTGTGCCCTCCCGAGGAGCTGCATTATTACACTTACGACCCCCATATAAAAGGGATGGGAATCCAATGTACTACAGTGCATCGGAGTTGGGGAAAAGCAACATCAAAACATGCAGCCAACTGTGTTCAAACATCCTCAAGGGTTCTTACGTTTCCCCTTCAACTACAGAGGTGGGAAACAGCACCACCTGGTGAATCGATCGGAAGGGTTACGATGTTTAGGCTAGCAGTAGAATTCTGGGAGTTGAAGTCCACCGGTTTTAAAGTGCCCAAGGTTGGACACCCTTGGTCTACAGGTAGTCCTTGGTTCATGACTGCTCTGTTTAGTGACGGTTCAAACTTATGCCACTGAAAAAAAATAACTTTACAATTATTCCTTGCACTTAAGACGGCCACAACGGCCCCGGGGTTACGCCGTTACAATTTGGAGGCTTTGCAACTCACGGGTGTTTATGACTGTTGCAGCATTCTGTGCTCACATGGTCTCCCCTGATGTGAGTCTGTTGCAGACATGTGATGTTTTGCTCAATGACCGTGTGACTTAGCAATGAAGTGGCTAGCCCTAATTTGGGGACTCATCCTGCCAGAAATTTGATTCTGATCGCCTTCTATGTATGAAGGTTTAGTAAGCGAATATAATTTTAAGAGAAGGGCGTATCGTGCTTTGTGGAAAATAAGCCACGTTCAATTCTTGAACATCCTTAGAAAACAAAGAAGGATTGCCGGTGGCTATCAAAAACATGTGTTTTCCGTGTTGCCATTTTTCCAGCCGCCCCCTGTGGAAAAAACATTGTGCAAAATTATATCCCCAAAGGATACTTTTTACAATTTACATCAATCCCCAGGGTTTACAAGCCACAGAGGGGGGGGGGGAAAGGGAAGCACGTGGATGTCGCAAACATGAAAAGAAAGTGGCTAGAGCTCATTAAACCACACAAGCAGCTCCAATTAAAGACACACCAAAATGTTTTTACCCCGAAGCTTGTGCTTCTTATAAAATAGCAGGGCCACATACATGATGTAGGTGACTTGATTCGCAACAGCAGCTGGGCAAACCTCGTGTCATGCCCCTGTTGGAAACTGACTCGGAGGAGAAAGTCGAACAGCTGACAGGGAGTGGGGAGTGTGGCTCCATTGGCTGTGGAAGAAACTGGGGAAGGGCAAAGTCCAGCTGGGCAGAGCAGGGGAGAGTTAGAGCAAGGGAGAGGGAATTCAGAGGAAGGCCCAGGCCCACCCCCCTCGTCATTCTAGGGCACGCAGGGAGGAACAGAGAAGGGAGCAATGTGGGTTGTATGGCTTACGGGGGACGAAAGGGCCCTGATTCCCTTCATTAGCTGCAGCTGGGAATTAAAGTTTAAAAGAACTGAATGCTGACTGTGGCAGCTGCTGGGAGCAAACGTGAGTTTATCCTGTGTTGTTTTTGTTTATCTGTGTTCCTGGTGTCTTCCCAACTGTGTGAGTTTTGCTGTGTCTGCACGTCTGGAATTCTTGCTCCTGCCCTGCCAAACTAATTACCTCATTTTGGCTTGAGTAGACTTATAATTACAGTTTGTGTTGACCATGTTTTGGACTTGATTCGTTGTAGTCAAAGCCTGTTCCTGGGAGAGTTTTTCTCCAGCTAGAAGGTAATCTGGACATTGGGGGCAAAGTTGCAGCTAATAAAGGGACTCTTATTGATTATCTGACTGTGTTGACTGTGTTGTCATACCCTGGGTCATCACACCCTTGGGTCGGATGTGTCACGCGCTGGCTACCCCAACGCCTGGTTTAGCGAAAGTGGTGGGGGAATCCCGATACGTCCTGTGATGCTGCTGTGATGTCGTGCACTTGACACCCCTGATCTAGTGTGAACCCAATCTCAAAGTGCTCCTGGTTACAGATCTCTGTTTACCTCTTGATCCCTTTGACCAGCAAGGAGGCCCACGGCTGATGCAGGCTCAGACACCAGCCGCCATCTGAAATCTCCTGTATCTCTCGATCCTGAACTCGTAGGCGGTTTCTTTCTAAATCTTTGGGGCTGCCACTCTCTGCAGAAATGTCCATTTTCCGGTGTGGGAGCAAACCAGCTTGGTCCACCCACTTCAATATCATTTAAAAGAGAACAAAAACAAACAAACAAACCATTTTTATACTTGGAATTGTAGCATGAAAAGTAGAAATAGAAAGGTTTTTTTTGACTTGTGCTTAACTGCCATTGGCGTTCGTTACTGTCACTGAACTGAGCAGAAGGAATAAAAAGTAAGTTTTTGCGAGGGCTTCAGTTCTACAGTTCTACAGAGGAATTATTGAGTCTGTCATCTGCACCTCTATAACTGTCTGGTTTGGTTCTGCAACCCAACAAGACAGACACAGACTTCAGAGGGTAATTAGGACTGCAGAAAAAACAATTACTACCAACCTGCCTTCCATGGAGGACCTGTATCCTGCACGAGCCAAAAAGAGGGCTGTGAAAATATTTACAGACCCTTCACATCCTGGACATAAACTGGTTCAACTCCTACCCTCAAAATGACGCTACAGAGCCCTGCACCCCAGAACAACTAGACACAAGGAGTTTTTTCCTGAAAGCCATCGCTCTGTTAAACAAATAATTCCTTCAACGCTGTTCACTATTGCAAAGTATGCACTACTATTACTGTTAATCTTCTCATCACTCCTTATCACCCATCCCGTCCCACTTGTGATTGTATGACTGTAACCTTGATGCTGTATCCTAACGATTTTTATTGACTGTTTCCTAGTTTGATTTGATGACTATTACTAAGTGTTTTACCTGATGATTCTTGACTCTTGATGAATGTATCTTTTCTTTTATGTACACTGAGAGCATTTGCACCAAGACAAATTCCTTGTGTGTCCAATCGCACTTGGCCAATAAAGAATTTTATCTATCTGCTGGCCTGGAGTTTGACACCCCTGGCTTAGTGTTACTTCTCAGCCCTCAACAAGTTGGTGATGCGCAAAGAAGAAAAGTTATGCAGACAAAAAAAAAAAAGAAAAAGAAATCCTAACCCTAGGATAGCAATCTCCACAATTTATTCCTGAAAAGATAGATACTGGATTATTGGGAGGTATTTCATAGGAAGGAAGAGAAAGAAAAAAATACTGACCACTGGAGCTGCCTGGAGAATGTGCGGATTCACCAAGACTCCCAAGTCTTCAAGTTTCCTGTCTGGATTTTGCTTCGCCTTGACCAGAGAGCCGTGGTTAATTGCTTCGACTGTCTCGTCCAACCTGCAAGGACAACCCATCAAATTTGTCCTTAATCCTGTGATAATTCTCTTCCCTCTTCGTAGAAGAGCTGGAAATGCCCTTCTCACGCAAACATGGACCTGGGTCCTTTAATGAGCTGCAAATGCGGAGAATGCATTTGCTCAATTATTTAACCGCATCCTTAATTACCCGGGTTAGTAAGCCAGTAGCAAACTTCTTAAGGGTTTGAGCCTGCTTTTCCCTTCCCCTCAGGAGCTTTTATGGAAGCTCACACGGCAGCTGATCTTTTCCTATTGCAAATGCAGGGCTCTCCTCTTTACCGCCTGCTTAGTCCTTGTCTGGTTGCAGAACTGACAGGATATAGAAGCGTGCTATAAATGACTAAGCTTCCTATCGGTTGCTGAAATATTAGTCCCTACTGGCCCAGCCCAGCAGGGGCAAGAGGCAGAAAACTAGTGTGGCGCTATAGGTAGTCTTCAACTTACAAGCACAACTGAGTCCAAAAGTTCTATTGCTAAGCAAGATAGTTGCTAAATGAATTTTGCCCCCTTTGTTAGGATCTTTCTTGCCACAGTTGTAAAGTGAATCACTGCAGTTGTTAAATGAACCGTGAGGTCGTTAAGCAAATTTGGCTTCCTCCAGAAGATTACAAATGGCAATCACATGACTTCCAGACACTGCAACCACCACAAATATAAACCAGTTACCAAGGATTTAGATCAAGGGTCTCCAAGCTTGGCCATTTTAAAGCCTGGTGGACTTCAGCTCCCAGAATTCCCCAGCCAGCTGGCTAGGGGATTCTGGGAGTTGAAGTCCGCCAGGGCTTAAAGTGGCCAAGCTTGGAGACCCCTGATTTAGATCACACGACCATAGGGATGCTGAAATAATTGTGCGGGAAACGGCCATGTTTCTTTTTTTCAGTGCCGTTGTCACTAAATGAATGGTGGTAAGTCGAGAACTACCTGTCCCAAAGGTGCTTTTTTCTTCAAGAGGCAACTGGACTTCCATATCTTTCTTTGAAGACATTTTGCTTCACATCCAAGAAGCTTCTTCAGCTCTGACTTCAGCTGTCTGCAGTGAGTATAAATCCTTCCATTCCCCAAGTCAGAGCAGCTTCTGGGATGAGAAGCAAAATGTCTTCAAAGAAAGATATGGAAGTCCAGTTGCCTCTTGAAAATGCACCTTTGGTATAACCACGACCTGGAGGACTGAGAATCTCTACAGACTTTTAGCTGTACAATTTGGGCTGAACACCCTTGGAATGGTGTGGGAGAAGGAATGGATTTCCAGAAGAAAGAAAAAATTGTAGACTGCAGGAACCAGGAGCATCACTCAGGTGACCCTGAGGATGGACACAGATAAACCTCCAAGTGGCCTCAACGACCCTCTAAAACGATGCAAATGACCAGCTGTCTGCAAGGAATATAAATCCTTCCATTCCCCACCGTCCAAGTCAGAGTGGAAGGAGCTTCTGGGATGAGAAGCGAAACGTCTTCAAAGAAAAACCAGAAAGTTCAGTTGCTTCCTGAAAAAACACCTTTGGGACAACCATGATTGGTAATCTTCATAGACATCAAGGACCACCTGTACTTGAAGGGCCACAAGTCCTTCCTGTCAGCACAAATTCTTCAGATTCGTAGAGAAGACCCCTTCATAGATGCTTAAACAGGATCCATGAGTGAATGAATGAATGAATGAATGAATGAAAATGCTTGAATGAATACAGGAGGAACAGAGAAAAACTCCAAGCCCCTCCCAACATATCCACTCCCACCCAAAGTACATCCACTGTTTCCAGAAGGACTCGCCTGTCCACTCCCGCCTCCCCACCGCACCAGGATCCTCACTTGCTGTGATATTCCACCATGTTGTCATTTTCTTCCCGGATCTGCCGGCCAGCGAAGTCAATGGTGATCTTCCTGGACAGCCGCGAGGCGTGCCGCAGTTCGTACAGCTCCTTTGCCCGCTTCTCCAGCACCTGCCTCTCCTGCTTGGACAGCCACTGGTTGGAGTCGGTAGCAAAGTAATCAGACTCGTCGTCGATTACGTGAGTTCGCCGCACACTGTGGAAGCAGAATGGAAGGTGGGCAAGGCAGCACCGCTACTACCGTCAACCCCTGTGTTGGCATCTGGGAAGCTGTCTGATATCAATCCAGACCAAGGGTCTCCCACTGTGGCAACTTTAAGACTGGTGGACTTCAACTCCCAGAGTTCCTCAGCCAGTTGCCGAGGTTGGAGACCCCTGATCCAGATTATTGGCCTACAGTCTTCTGATGGGCAGCATCACCCCAAGGGTGTTTCCAATCGTTTGTCACTAGACCCCTTTAGCCAAAATGAAAATTGGAACGACCCAAGAGATTACAGCACAAGACCCAGGATGTCACAACAATAGAACTCAGAAGGTCATCACACGGCCCATTACCCTGGTCGTTACAATACAGGAGGCTGATAGACACACAGCCAATACCTCAGCCACACAGGTTCTTACGAAAAAGCCAACCAATCTGCAAACATCAACTCCATCAACCAATCAAGAAATAACAACACAGCCAACCAGCCCGCTTACAACAGAGCCAGCACATCACACCTCCCCACCAGTATATATAGGGAGACGGCAGCTCCGATCACGCTTTGCTCGCACAAGCAAGAAGCCAAAAGCACCAGCCTGAAGATGGCGAGTGGGACCTCGTCGAAACGTCGCCAAGATACTCTCAATTTACACGGGAAAAGACCCGAACATGCCAAGACCTGCATATACATGTATGTATGTATGTATGTATATATGGTATTTAGGTTTCTTCGGGTATTTTCCTACGTCTTAATATTTGTGCTTTTATTATAGCGACGTTTCAGCCAAAACGTCGCTATAATAAAAGCACAAATATTAAGACGCGGGAAAATACCCTAAGAAACCTAACTACCATACATATAAATACCTGCGAAAACATAACACACACACACACACACACACACACAAACATCTTTGACATACATAGCGTTTATTGAACAGTGTATTGTCTGGATCAATTTCTTTATACACAATACTAATAACAATAATGGTACTATTTAGGTATACATGATAATAATCTTTCAACTTCTAACATTTACGTATATGTAGTAATTATAATATGGCTCTCCAGCTTTTCAATGGAGTCCTCCAGGACTGACTCAGCTGAATCCATTTATGTATACCCTGCCCTCATTATTATAAATAATTCAAGAGGACGTACACACATAATACCCCTCCTATTTTCCCCACCACAACTCTCTGAGGTAGGGTGGGCTGAGAGAGGGACCGGCCCAAAGTCCCTCAGCTGGTTTTCATGCCTAAGGCGGGACTAGAACTCACCGCCTCCTGGTTTCTAGCTTGGTGCCTTAACTACCCACTGTTCATTTTTGTGTCCCAGATTAAAATGAGGTTTTACCCATTACGGACTGCATAAGAAACCTGGGGCTGGCAGCGAGAAAACATTTTCTTTTTCTCCATCCAGGTACCTGAGCCCTTCTATCAAACAGCATTTCCCCCCCCCCCCCGCCGCCGGTTGGAGTTCTCCCGTCAAAAGGCAAGTCCAGCTAGCAGAGATTCTCACCGTTAATGATTTGCCCGGTGGGCTTTTTCCCCTCTCTCTTCAGGAAAGCCACGCCAGGTTTTTCCATAAGGCAACCTGCTGGCTGAAAGCTGAAGCTGGCGTAGCTGCTTTTAACAGAAAGTGCAAGAGCAAGGCTCAGTGGCCGTGGATGTAAACTGCAGCCGGGAACCCTTCCGGCACAACTGAGAACAAATCTGGGTGTCTGCCAGGCGCCTCAACTATACAGGCTAGGAAATCAGGGAGTCAAAAATCCAATACATTTTGGAAGCATTCAGCTGGGGGAAAGCTGGTCAATTCCACCTTTTCTAGGTTGCTCTCCCACATACCTGGTTTTGTCGTACTCCAGTAGTTTGTCTTTGTGCTTCACAGCCATCTCCAGACCTGACTTAAGTCGAGCCTCTCGAAGTTGGAGTGAGTCTTTGTCACTTGTGTCCGCCTTCCCAGAGTTTTCTGCACCTGAGGGAAACCCCAGCCCAGCCCCAAGAAAAGCTCAATTTAGTACAAAGAAGAAGGAAGTCAGAAAGTAAATGGTTCTCTTTACTATTTTAGGGGTGGTTTTTTTTCTTCTTAACTTTTATAAACAACAACACTGTGGAGATTTTGGCATTAGATAGTCCTTGACTTACAACAGTTTGTTTAGTGACTGATGTTACAACGGCACTGAAAAAAAGTGACTTATGACCATTTTTCGCACTTATGGACCGTTGCAGCATTTCCCACGGTCCCGTGATTTACATCGGATGCTTCACATTTATGACAGTTGCAGTGTGATCCCCTTTTGTGATCTTCTGCCAAGCCTAGTCCATGGGGAAGCCAAATTCACTTAACAACCGGGTTACTAACTTAACAACTGCAGTGATTCACTTAACAGTGACAAGAAAGCTCAATCATGGGGCAAAAGTTACTTAACCAGTGGCTCACTTAGCAACAGAAATTTTGAGCTCAATTGTGGTCGTACACCTGTACATTCAAATATCCATTTGTCTATTCATAATGTTTTTGCAAAACATTTGGTTCACTAAATAAAAGCATTATAATACAAAATGACAACAAATCATGTATGGAGTACGTTCGATGTACTTCTTAAAAGAAGGAAATGTACGTTTCTATATTTGTGTGTCTATAAACTATCATTGTTAAATTTTTTAAACAAACAGGTGCTTGATAATCAGCCCAGATTTTCAAGTATTGCTGGATCCCCTCATCACGTGATCATGATTTTTAACTTTCCTTGCCAGCTTCCCATAAACAAAGTCGATTGTCCTTCAAAAAATACCAACCTCCCAAAAGTTTCTTTAAGAGCTTTTGGCTCTTGTTGGAATCTCGTTGCAAGACATCCTGTTCTTCTTTGGTGCACACCTACAAGAGGAATAGAAATGTCCGATTAAACTTAAGTCTTCCAACTATATGTAGGAAATATCTTTGCTCATTGCTACTTGCATAATTTGTCCACTGTTTAAGACTGCTTTCAAAACTATAACTTCATCTACATTTGATATGAAAGCATTTTTTTAATGAAAGCATGTTCAAAGCAAATTAAAAACCACAAAGTAACAAAGTAAGACTTCATTATCTTTTTATTGCTCTTTGGTTTTGTCCTAGACTCATTTACTGGCTGTCTTGCAACTCCGTAATATGTAGCCTCTCTAGTTAGGAATACATTTCGCTCTCTCTTTTTTTATGAGCATATATGGTGACTGTCTTACAGTGAGAGTTTTTGTGGTGTAGGCAAAGGGTATCTGGGGTTATGACAGATCTTTCTTCTCAGTGTTAAACAGATATTTAAAATGTAAACCAAAATATAATATTTCAGAGGTTTCTCCTTAAAAAAAACAGCCTTGTCCATCCTTATTTACATACCAGAGTTCCACAGAACAGGCAAGGCCCAGACCCTTCTTGTTCACAAACGATGCGCCCGCACGTCAAACAGTTGTTGATGAGTTTGTGCTTCTGGGCCAGGCATTCACAGGAATGGCGCCCTGGAAGCATGACAGCCAGCTTGTCCTGGCCTTCTTTTGTGTACAAATTGACGTATTTTGCCTTCTTCTTGGAGGAACAGGAGTTGCTGCCTCTGGTGACCTCCTGAGCCTGTTATAAAAGTGAAGAAAGAGGGATAAAATGAAGAGAGGAAAACATACCAAGGAGCAGATATACTATAACAGAGAATATATGTGTGTGTGTATGCTCTCTCATGCTCCCTCCCTCTCCCCCGCCATGTCTGGAGATAGATAGATAGATAGATAGATAGATAGATAGATAGATAGATAGATGATAGATAGATAGATAGATAGATAGATAGATAGCAAGAACTTCCTGAACTGAAATTAGTTCCCCATTTTCCTGAAATATATTATTTCACTGCAAAATAATGGGTAAACATTAAATTAGTCTTTCTTTATTAAAAAACAATTTTAACTGCTCCTCTATCCAGGGTTTTGTGGTATTTGGATTAAGGCAAGGCCTCATTATTCACCACGAAGTGCAGTGGGCCCTTGAAAAACACTAAGTGAAATAATTATAATCAATTGCATAAAAATTACCCCAAAATGAATCTGTTCTAATAACAGTAGACACCAAATGCACCTACCTTGGCTAAATCGAATGGTGTTTTTACTTTCTCTACAGGCTGGCAGGCTTCAACATAAATAGGTGTTTCCTGTTTATTTCTTCCTTTATGCCTTCCTCTCTTTGTCTGGTCTCCTGGCCGAGGAGTATCCAAAATATCTAAAAGAACAGGAAAAACATAGCAGATGCTGGTTTTGGTCGATATTTTTCCTCATCCTTCTGTAAATATCTAAATCTGGGCTCCCCAAAGTGGTCCATATCAACCTCTCCCCCAAGGATCAATGGGACAGTCCAAAGGATTAATAAATTTCTAGGGCTCAAAAGATCAGTAAGTATCTGGAGGTCAATAGATACTGAAGAAATGATGGGAGGTTGATTGGGGTCAATTCATGTTTGAGGGTCCCTGTAGAACTCCGTGCCAATTCCTAATTCTGAAAATGAGGTATCTAGTGGCAAGACAGTGTTATCCAGTGTTGGATGGTCAGCTACCAGCAAGAGCAGCCTTGAATTGTCTCCGTTCTTGTTGCTGTTATTATTGCTAATGCTATTAAAGTAGCATTTATTAAATTATTTTCATATCATAAATGTTTGAGGGTCCATGAACAATGTGAAACATCATGAATGGGTCCAAGAGCTGAAGAGTTTGGGGACCAACAGTCTAAATAAACAAAGAGAACGACACAAGACCATTGTACAGATCTTCTGCTACCGTCCATAAATTACAGGGCCATGTACAACTATGACACATCACTACATATTCCTAGATATTAAAGGAAGAAGGTGAAAGCAGTGTAGACATATCTTTTTTTAGTCTCATAACTAATTCAATCTACGGAAAGCTGCCCAGGAACACTGCATTCTTAGAAATAAGTGTTGTTTTTTTGTGTGACTTGCAGCTTTCTTTGGTAAGGCCAGGGGCAGGTATCCTGTGGATACCAATGAGCTATTAATCCCACAGAATTTCAACTCAACTAACCTTCATTGCAAGGAATGTTGACTGCTATATTTCAGGAAACTCTGGAGGGCCATATTTTAGCTACAATGCACTTAGGCAATGCTATCAAACCAAGCCTACAAGAATTCAGACCAAGATAGATGGTAGCAAGGCTGAAGTTTGCTATTAATTGGTTTGCAAATATAACAATGATTTGCTAACACCCTCTTTGTCCCCGAACAAATTTTTATCTCATTTTCTGCTCTCCACTTACCATCCTTTTTCTGACACAGCGGCAAAGGATCCAAAGTTGTAGAACGGGACTGTTTCCACCTGGCTACAAGTTCATCTATGAAGTACTTCTTCTGGCCATCTCTCCCTTGGATTAAGTCCGTGACATACTCGCGAATCTCTTCCTCATCATCGATAGACAAAATATATCTAAAAATATACAGAGGTGCTTATGAAAATACAATTTGGGGAATTCAAGGTTGAAAAACACTGGCCGGACTTTGTTACTAGGATCTCTTAATGATAATTGTTATATTTCTTTGTCCTATAAACAGTGCATGTTTGCATATGGAACTACCCGAGACAATAACTTAAAAGCAGCAAAGAAGTTTATTAATGTCTTTGCAAACACAGGCGCACTGAAAAAGTGGACACAGAACAAAGCATGAATGTCAGTTTATATCCCCTTACAGACCCACCACCCCTTCCCCTTGTTAGCACAGCATCCTGTTGAAGCATTTAGTTAACGCCCACCCACCCACCCTAAAAAACCTGTCTAGCAACATTTTCAGTTTTAACTGTAACTCACTTTTTTTTACGCATAAGCTCTACTGTTTTTGTTTCCCTGCTGAGGGTTACAGCTGGCATTTGTACTTTCACATGCCTGACATTTTTAGCTTGTTACCTGTTAAATGTTTTGGAAAACAGCTTGATCCCCTTTCCAGTTGCATGCATTTGGGCTAAGCGTTTTAGAAACGATACATACTCAGTTTTGTTTTTTGCCTTTAATATTGGTATATAACAGAGGTCTCCAAACTTGGCAATTTTAAGACTTATGGACTTCAACTGCCAGAATTCTCCAGCCAGCATAGTTGAAGTCCAACAAATGTCTCAGAAAGGATGCAAATGTCTACGGATACACTTTTTAGAAGGTAAAAAGCATAGCTGGCTGGAGAATTCTGGCAGTTGATGTCCAACAAGTCTTAAAGTTGCCAAGTTTGGGGACCTCTGTTATATAACAAAATGTGTATATTATCGCTTGCAAGGCCTGGAAGAGTCACACATCCTGTGCTGCCAACAAGCCACAATAGGGTTTCATGCGTTGCGGGAAAGCCGTGGTCATCCTCCCAGATTCTCTCTCCCCCTCCCCCACACACACCAAAGCCTCAACTGCCCAAGGCTGTCACCTCACTGGGTCACTCCTTCCATGCCCCGCCACCTGTTGAACTCCTGCCTGTTGTCTAAGGGGCAAAGCAATATCCTCAGCATGGTAACTGCCCTTCTCGGCCTGCCGGGGCCAAAGGGCAAGCGGGCAGGACAGACGGGCCACCCTTGCCCCCCGCCCCGCCAGCAAAGACGGCAGCCCATGACGAGGTGACATCGTGGGCTCTGCCCCGCTCCCCCTTTGCCTCCGACCGCCCCCCACCCCCAAGCTCACTGGATAATCTCCTCGCTGACATCCAGCCCAAAAGTGCCGCGCAGCTCCCCCATGCACCACGACACGAACGGCGCCGCCATCTCGGCTTCCGACAGCGACGCCTTCATGACGGGGGAAGAAGAAAGCGGGTGCACACGCACACATACACAAAAAAGCCGGCCGGGCTTCGGTTTGGGTGCAACGCGCACAGGCGCCGGCTAGGCAACGGTGGCTGCGTATTTCTAGTTCCGGGTCTCATCCCTTCTAAAACTACAGCACAGCGGCCTTGAGGTTTTAAAAAACAGGGATGTGGCAAACTTGGCAACTTTTAAGACTTGTGGGCTTCAACTCTCAGAATCCCCCAGCCAGCCTTGTCCACTAGAACAATCACATATTGGAGCTGCAATCTGAAGTCTCACACGACGGTGGTGTTCATGGTTGGCTTATGGTTTAATGTGTTCTATAAATCCAGAGAATTGGAATAGGTCAAGAAACTGTTGTTCCTTTATACCCACAATTAGCATGGTGCATGAACTTAGCTACAGTTAGCTTGTTTCTACCATTGTGAATCATTTAGATGGCGCGCGCACACACACACACACACACACTTAGACCAGAGAGATTTGGAACATTAGTTTTGCTGTAAGATTTGAAAAACAAGTATTATTATAATTAAATAATATATCCCAGGGAAACAACTGAAACGAAACTAAAACCATTTTAGCAACTTCATAAAGATTGCAGATGAACACTAGAGGGAACTACAGAATTAAGCAGAAAAGAATTGAACTAGTTAAGGGCTACAACTTTCTTTTTCTTAAGAGTTTATTTTAAAATGCAGGTTGAAATATTAATAACAAATGTCTCAGAAAGGATGCAAATGTCTACGGATAAACTTTTTAGAAGGTAAAAAAGGTTTTAAAACTTCTATGCGACACAGACCTTATAGAATATGAAAGCGTGGGGGAGAACAAAATTGAGATTACCAACAAGGGAATACAAAAGACAACTCTAGAAAAGGTCCAGGATATGGAACAGCTGTTACAAAAAAATTCTGGATATCTTGTGGTTCTGTTAGAATGTAAATAAAAAGTTAACCAGCTACTTTTTTTATTATTATCTGGAACTATTCAGAGGGGGAAGGCCTAGAGGGAGGCTGAGCAGAGATAATAGCTAACTGGGGCAGAGTAAAACAGATGGGGGAAAAGAGATAAGTAACATTTAAAGCAGGAGAAATAAGTTCAGTTAACCCCTTATGACAATGGAAAAGTAATTCCGTAAGAAATTATGGAGAGGTTTTATGGCTGTTAACACTTAATGCAGACATAATAAAATGTTTCTTTTTATCTATTGATAAAGAAAATTTGCATCTTTTACATTCAACTTGTCCTGCAAATACATGGAAGAATAAAATATAATTCTACCTTCCCCAAAGGTCACAAGAAAATAGATAAGAAGGGCTGGCAATATTCACAAGACGGGTGAATATAAGACCAGATGAATTCCATATAATGAACTCTAAACCTATCTATTTCGGTGTAATAAAAGCAGAAAGAATAAAGAACATTTATTTCCAAAAGAAACTTAAAATAAATTATGTCACTTCTGTTCAAATAAAACTTGAGTTTTGATACACAGGATGTTTAAAGCTTGGTAAGCCAGGGACTCTGCCAATCAAATCTTCCAAGCAAGTATATTCTAAGGAGTTGTTTAAAAATTCAAAAACAGGACATGATAGTTACTCCAAAGTGAGTAACCTAATGCAAAAACACTATCTCCCCCGCCGCCACTGCCACCACCACCAAGAAAACCCGCCTGCCTTTCTGGATCCCACTTCCCCCATAAGTATTAAAGCGCATAAAGCAGAAGAATCTGACTCCAAAAAGTATAAAGATCTGAGCTGACAATGCTGGAATTTTCGGGGGGGGGGGGGGGGACACGAAAATGCAGCCAGGCAAAACTGGGTATAGGAAAGAAACAAAGAATCTTGCAGGGTCTGAAACAAATGCAGCCGAAGAACAGTAAAAAGAGAACATATTTAGAGGAAAACCAGAAAGAAATTAAAAAGACAAACCAAAAAATTCTCTTACCTTCATGTTGCTTCTTGATTCCAGTTGGAGCAACTGTTTCTGTACCCTGCAAGAAGCAAGGAAGAGTGCTGAAGTCCGCCCCTTAAAAATTGTCTTATCTTTTTAGACAACCTTGAAATCAGCCAAGGCAGTTTGCTTTTAAATCCTTCAGAAGGAGATTGCCTACTCCAGTGGTTAAAATGCTGAGTGAAGGGTTTATTTGAGATCTTGCTGGCAGCTATTAGGCAATTTAGAAAGCAGAGGATGTTGCCCCAGGGTTCTTCCCCTTCTGGAATTGTTTTCATTAATAACTAAAAGCCTGGATGTTGCCCAAATATTAGGTATGTAAAAACTGCCTATAATTGAGATCCTTTAAAAAAAAAGTTTTTGTTTTTCATCATTTTGGCTTTTTTATTGATTGTTGCTGAATAGGTCTTTATTCTTGATAGTTTTATCTTACCTTGTTTTACTGAATCAGAACATCTTAGAGTTGGATAGGATCCAGAAGTCCAGTGTTTCTCAAATTTGACAACTTTAAGAAATGTGTTTTGTGTGTGTATGTTTGATTGAGATTTAATAAAACCTTGGGAGAAAGCGAGAAGAACAATTGTAAACAAGGCAGAGGGAAATATGAATATGATGAGTATAAAATGGATAAATATTGAAGAAATGTAATTGAATAAAGAGAAATAATGAGAAATCTGATTTAAGTGGAAATGGGATATATTAGAAGTATATTGTATAAAACAGTGTTTTATCTGCCTTGTAAGAATTTGTAATGGAAAGAGGTTTAATGTTTTTAATGTCTAATGATGCTTTGTTTGTCTTTAAAATTAATAAAATTTGTTTCAAAAAAGAAAAGAAAAGAAAAGAAATCTAGAGTTTAACTTTAGGTCCCTCGGGATCATATCTTACATTATTCCCCCTTATCCTCTTATCCTAGTCTTCCAACTTGTCCAGATTAAATTGCAAATTCTGTTATCCTGGTGTTGGTAGGACCACCCAATGTGTCATCCCCAAACTTGAAAATCTGCATATTAGTCCTATTATCTAGATCATTCACAAAAACATTGAATAAAGCTGACTTCAAAATATGTCCCTGTTGGGCCCCTGTGTTTGTGTATGAAGTATATATTCTACTTTAGACTCCTTTGGGACGGATGATTGGAATAAAAACACCTAACATTGATATTAGATCTGCATCACACAGTTCCTAACAGCTAAAAACAACCATATGGATTGGCCAACTGAAATCTTGGTTGAAGCCAATTCTTTTCACTAGGAATCTGAAAAAGAGAAAAAGGAGCAAAGAAACCAAACCAACAACCCCAAAACCTCAAAGTCAAAAGAAGAGGGGAAGACATATCATTGGAATATGTAAGTAGATGTCCTTATTCTCAGCCCCTTCTGTCACCATGCCAACTTTTCTGCAATCTAGTTGGTTATTCATCTCCATGCCAATTACACTTCTCTCATGTCAAGGCTCAACCTTGAGATATAAAATAAAAATTTGTAGCAACCCAAATCTCCTCCTCCTCTCCCAAAATAATCCGCTGTAGTTTTCATCAAAGGGAAAAAGTTTTTTTTAGAAAAAGTTGTGACTCTCTTAACTGTGAACATCCTACGTCTCTCCTGCTATGACACTGCTCCATTGTTTATGACTAGAAAATGGCTGCCTACAGATTGCTGACCTCTTGCATTCCAGCTCCAAGGACACACATCTGCAGTTGGTTACAGGAGCTGAAAGACAAGGCTGAATGTTTATTCAGACTCTGAGCTAGAGTTTTGCCATGGGTTTATCAGCATTTTTATTGTTATACCCAAGTCTAATCACAATGAGAAGAGCTAATATAGCCTTCAGGTTGCCCACAAGTGGGTAAGCAGGACAAATAATAAGTAAAAAGAATAAACAGTTCTTCCAACAAGGACATGTAAAGTAAAAGTTCCAAGAGGTTTTAGAGTTTATGATAGTGGAATAGCTAAAGAATCTGAGTATCAAACTCCAAGGTTCTCAAGGTGTGATGAGTCCTGATGTTGCTCATTGCAGTCTTTGCCTTTGATTTTATTTTTAATATATATCTCTATCCATCTATTGTTATACACTGCAAGGTGGGCAACCATGTTCATCTGGACTGCTGTACAAATAGAAGAGATGGAAGGGACCTTGGAGGTCTTCTAGTCCAGCCCCCTGCGCAAGCAGAACCTATACCATTTCAGACAAATGACTGTCTAGACTCTTCTTAAAAACCTCCAGTGAAGGAGCACCCACAATTTCTGAAGTCAAGCTGTTCCCCTGGTTCATTGTCCTCACTGTTTGGAAATTTCTCCTTCTGTTTCTCTCCTTGATAAATTTCCATCCATTGTTTCTTGTCCTGCCCTCTGATGCTTTGGAAATTAAGTTGACCCCCTCTTCTTTGTGGCAGCCCCTCAAATACTGGAATCCTGCTACCATGTCATCCAAGTCCTTCTTTTCTCCAAACTAGTTGCAGTTCCTGCAACTGTCCAGGCCTTTAATTGTCTTAGTTCCTTTTCTCTGCACTTTTTCCAAAGTCTCAACAACTTTTTTGTAATTATGGTGATCGAACCTGGATGCAAGAAAGCCAGATGAATTGAGTGAACCAACAGACATTTGGTACAAACATAGAACCCCAGTGTTGGGAATTTCTAGGGAAACCTTTCAAGTTTGCATTGTTACTGTTCTTTTTTAAGGAAACCTTAATGAACTTGCAACTGTCTATTTTTTCGGATGTGCTTATCAAGATTTACTGGAATGGACCACCCATGACTTAGATCATCCTTCATAAAATGTGTTTTCCTCAAATTGACACGGTCAAACCAATACAGACATTCTTTAATTTGTTCCCAGAAGCTGTCGATTGCAACGACCAGCAAACTGTTGGAGAAAAAGCCAGTGGCAACCGTCGCTATCAAGTGGAAACACAAGTATAACTTTTATACTTTTATAAACATCCAGGATCAGGAAATTCCTGCAGCTTTTATTTATCTTCTTGGCTTCAGGAACAAGGGGAGCTCTAGGATTCGGTTGGACTGTCTGTACTCAACTTCCTCTCTTACAGAAGCAAGAGAACAATTGCAAAGAAGATAAATGACTGTTAGGATGAGAGCAGAACATTAAGACTTTTCCCTAAGTTCAAGATGCTTAGTTGATAGACCAGTTTTATCCAAGAGCACAGCAGAGAGGCAGATCAGGACAAGTGAAATGATGGGCCTTATTTGAGCAGTGATGAAAAAAACCTTCTAAAAATTGGGCCTGTAATCCAGACCTTTATTTCCCATGGATCCTGATTAACACGATCAATTTTCTCAAGCATCTGATTCCCAAGTAGTCTTTCTTCTTAACCCACCTGGAACATACCATCATTTTTGTCACATTTCCAACATGTGTACACCTGTGGTTAGCATGGTTTTGATCCACAGATCTTTCTCCCAGATCCACAGATCTTTGCCCCCGTCTATTCTCTGCCGCCGGTGTCCCAGCTGATCAGCTGGGTCTCCTATTGTTGCCCTGCCCAGGGGAATGGAGCTGGAAAGCAGGTTAGTGGGGTGGGGAGGGAATGGGGATTTTGCAGTAGCCTTCCCCTGCCATGCCTACCAAGCCACGCCTACCAAGCCACACCATGCCCACCAAGCCATGCCCACAGAACCGGTAGTAAAAAAAATTGAATCCCACCACTTGTGTGGTCAATTAACCCACAAGTCCACCTGCTTTCAGTGATGGGTCTCCAAAATGCTGACTTCTCCATCCTGCTACTGTAACTTTGCTGAAACCACAGGCAGTCTTTGACTTATGGCAACAATGGAGCCCAAAATGTCTGTTGCTGAGACATCGGCCAAGAGAGTTACAACCTTGTTAAATTAGCAACACAGGTAAGTGAATCCAGCTTCCCCATTGACTTTGCTTGTCGGAAGGTTGCAAGTGACCTCACAATGACTGTTGTAATGACAAGGCAGTCGAGTTGTTTGATCATGAACAACTGAATCATGATGATCTTTATTGGATTCTAGTCTTGCATTTATACACATTTTTAGTTATCCTCCATCACTGGTCAACTTTGGTTACTGCTTAACTTTCGTTACTGTTTAGCACAGTAATCAATACAATTAATTATCTCTAGTTAAAGTCTAACATATGTTTACTTACTCTCTCTAATCCTCCTTTAGATTAGTGACTTTGTTTACCTGAGTTGTATTTGCTTGGAAACATTCTTTATCTGAGGTTTGTCATCCGAGATTGGAACATTCCTGCAATTACAACTCTACACATGACCTCCAGATACGGCAACCGTCATAAATAGGAGCCAGTTGCCAAACGGCTGGATTTTGATCATGTGACCATGGGGATGCTGCAACGATCACAAAGGGTCGTAAGTCATTTTTCCAGTGCTGTTGTAACTTCAAACAAACTAAAGGAATGGTTGAAAGTCAAAGACTGTAGTTTGTGTAGGGCTGGTTTTAGAATAGAATAAGAATTGGAAGGGACCTTGGAGGTCTTCTAGTCCAGCCCCTGCTCAGCAGGAAACCCTACACCATTTCAGACAAATGGTTGTCCAATCTCGTTTTAAAAACCTCCAGTGTTGGAGCATTTACAACTTCTGGGGGCTGATTAATTGTTCGAACAGTCAGGAAATTTCTCCTTAATTCTAGGTTGTTTTTCTCCTTGATTAATTTCCACCCATTGCTTCTTGCCCTGCCTTCTGGTGCTTTGGACAATAAACCTTCTTATTTGTAGCAACCTCTGAGATTTCGGAAGACTGCTATCCTGTCACCCCAGTCCTTCTATTCGTTAAACTAGACCTATCCAATTCCAGCAACCATTCTTTGTATGTTTTAGCCTTTAGTCCCCTAATCATCTTTGTTGCTTTTCTCTGAACCAATCTACTGATCTTTTAATATTCAAGCATAAAGCATGCTTCAATAAACAGAATGCAGAAGTGGGTTTCATTAGCAAACCTAACCTGTGCTTGCTTACCGGAAATGCTTTTTCACAATACAGTTCATCAGTCTGGAACCCACATTACGTATCTGATATTAGCACAATTGAGAAAGTCCAGAAATATTTCACAAGAAGAGTTCTCCACTCCTCTACTCGTTGTAGAATACCTTATGCCACCAGACTTGAAATTCTAGAACTAGAAAACCTTGAATTACGCCGTCTTCGGTCTGATTTAAGCATGGTATATAAAATCATACATTGCAATGTCCTACCTGTCAATGAATACTTCAGCTTCAACCATAACAACACAAGAGCACACAATAGATACAAACTCAAAGTTAACCGCACCAAACTTGATTGCAGGAAATACGACTTCAGCAATAGAGTGGTCAATGTCTGGAATACTCTACCCGACTCTGTAGTTTCTTCCCCAAACCCCAAAAACTTTAACCTTAGACTGTCTACTATTGACCTCACCCCTTTCCTAAGAGGTCTGTAGGGGGCGTGCATAAGTGCACCAACGTGCCTACCGTCCCTGTCCTATTGTTTCTCTTATTCTTCTTTTATTTTTCTTATATGTACCCATTTCATGTATTCACAACTATGTATACACTTATACTTATTATCTTGTAAACAATTGGCAAATCAAATAAATAAATAAATAAATAAATAAATAAATAAATAAACATGTTAAACACTGTCCTTTGGTAACAAAGGATGTGGTGACAGCTGCAGATTTAGCATGAAAAAAAATGCATGGAAAGGGAGGTTCAATGGGTAGTTACCCCCAGAATCAAACATATTTTTCTGCCAAATATCAGATACCAGCTAAAATAGTAGGAGAGAAGATCTGTTGGTTTGTTTCTCATAGCCCACGATGAAATGTGTTTAGAAAATGAATATTAGACAATCACTGTATAGCTATTCCCTCTCCTATAGGCATTGATGCTAGGCCTGGGAAGGTGCTTGTGACACATTTCTCAATCAACAAACTAACCTCAGCAGTGGTTCTTAGCATCTTGCTTCTGGTGAATGACAATGGAACTCAAGTGGCTTAATGCCAATTAAGCTTTGAGGGTTTTTATTACCATGATAATGGATGGAGTTGCAGAAGCAAACTGTCCTTTATCACTTTCAAGGAAATCTTGATGGGTTTAGATTGGCTGTATTGTAAGTTTAATTAAGTTTGGCTTTGATTGGGTGTGGAATGGCCCTGTTTACCTTTCCAGATAGGTAACCGAAAAAGGTTTTAAGGTGTTTATTGGGTGATTAGTAGGGGGCCTTAGAATAGAATAGAATACTTTATTGGCCAAATGTGATTGGACACACAAGGAATTTGTCTTGGTGTAAATACTCTCAGTATACATAAAGAAAAGATACATTCGTTAAGAATCAAGAATCATACAACACTTAATGATAGTCATAGGGTACAACCAACAATCAAATCATACTAGGAAACAGTCAAGTGGGAGGGGATGAGTGATAAGGAGTGGTGAGAAGATTAACAGTCATAGCAGTGTACACTTTGTAAATAGTTGAACAGTGTTGTGGGAATTATTTGTTTAGCAGAGTGATGGCTTTCAGGAAAAACTGTCCTTGTGTCTAGTTGTTCTGGTGTGCAGGGCTCTATAGGATTGTTTTGAGGGAAGGAGTTGAAACAGTTTATGTCTGGGATGTGAGGGGTCTGTAGATATTTTCACAGCCCTCAGATAAGGAATGAGTTCTCTTTGAGATTTGCAGATTTAAACAAGGGATTGTATTTGTAATTTATACCCCACTTTCCTTTGAGGTTTATTTAGCATAGATGATATTAGATCTATGCAGGATTACCTTTGGTGCTATTGACCAGGCTGTCCTATGCATGTTTTTTCAGAAGTGATATCTCACTAGCTGGCTTCGTATAACACTCGGGGTTAAAACATGGTTAGCTAGTGCAGCACTGTACAAACTCAAGCAGCCTGGTCAGTTTGTAATCTGGTGTGTTACACACTTATATTTTTCATACCCCTTGATTCCATTCTTTACCCGATTCCATTTCACACATGCCATTGTGCATTGTTCTTTTCTACCACTTCTTTTTTTCTTCCTTTCCTTTAGATTTGCTTTGTTATTTTATGTAAAATCTTCAATAAATAACATTTTAAAAAAACGCATAACGTTCAATTACGGTTGCCATAGGCGGAGGCTCCCTTCTCTCCATGCAGAACCCCAGAGGAGTCCCAATCAAGCTTCTCCCGGTTGGGTTCATTCGCCCTGCGGCGGCCCCGGGTTCGGGGGGATCCCGCCGAAGAGATCCAGAGGCGGCCGGAGTTTCGAACCGCGGGTGAAAGTCGCGGGCTGGCACGTGATTGGCCGCTCGCCGTCTCCGCCTCGGCCAATGGGAGCGCGGCGCGCGCGCGGGAAGCCCGAATATTGCGGCAGAAGGAAGTCGCCGCTCGGCCGCTTTGCTAGAAAGTTGCGCCTTTTATTCCGCTTTCTTTCCCGGCTCTCGTTTTATTCCGTTTTTTTTCCCTCCCTTTGGTGCAACGGCAAAGGACGGGCATGGTGCGGACCAAGGCGAACTGCGGCGGCACCGCCGGGGCCTATCGGAAAGGTAAAAGCATTTGCACATGCTTAACCGGGATGCAGAATTAAGTGGGATACAGAACTAACCAGGATGCAGAACTAAGTGGGATGCAGAACTAACTGGGATGCAAAGCAGCTGCTTTGCATTCCCCCTCCTTCCTTCTAAATGGGATGGATTTTAACTATGTTTACTTAAGCTGCATTTAAGACACAGCAAGCTGTGAAAAAGGCAGCTGAGGTTAGCATAGGGTGCCCAGGCCCTTAGAATTTTGGCTGACCATGTTGCTTGACTGCATGGTGTGTATTGCAATTCCCAGTGCAAGCCCTTTGAAATGGAGGAATGCTTTCATTCAAAGTAGCCCTATACCTGGCTATCCAGTCAGTTTGCATTACCTTAGACTGGAAGCACTTTGGACTAGGGCACCCTCGTTACCGGTTTAAGCCCCGCCCCCTCATTTTAAAAAACTGCCCTGCTCTTTGTGGATTGTAAAAAGAAGCAACTGGTCTGAGACCTAGATAATTGGACTTAATGGCATTTTTAACTGTAAATAATCTCTAATTCTTTCTTTATGCCAGTGGTAGCTGCCAGGGCTCCTCGGAAGGCGCTGGGCTCTGGACAGGCGAATGTTAGTTCGTCTCTTACGTCAAGGAAAGGTGAGTGTGTAAGATGGACTTGATTCTTGACTGGCTTTAATGTGCTTTCGACAGAGGTTGAAGGCCACTGGTGCTTTTCAATTTAGAATTGCTCTGCAAGTACAAATAGCCCTTGACTTGCAACCGCAATTGAGCCCTGTTTCTGCTGTTAAATGAGACATTTGTTAAGTGAACTGTGCCTAATGTTACGATCTTTCTTGCCATAGTTGTTAAGTGAACCATGGCAGTGGATAAATTAGTAACCTGTTTAAGTGAATCTGGCTTCCTTATTGACTTGGCTCAGAACTCATAAATATGAACCAGTTGCTAAGCATTTGAATTTTAATCACAAGATGCTGCAAAGGTACATTTGAAAAATGGTCATAAACCACATTTTTCAGTGCTCTTGTAACTTTGAATGGTCACCAAATGAACTATTGTAAGTCAAGGACTGCTGCAATCAGACTGAAGCTCCACATACTTCCTTCATGGTGCTTTGTATGCTTTCCTTCTGCTTTCTTTAAATTAAAGATATTGTGCTGTGGCTGTTTAATTTAGAGCTGCAACCACCGCAGGGCTGCTGCCAAGTATAATGTGGTTCCTGGGCTTTTCTGTCATTCTGCTGTTTCTTATAGAGTCAATACTGTATATCTAAGCCAGGCCTAAAATATTTTGCACTTTTAATGCTCTGGACTGAATTCCTAAAACATTTTAGGAATAGGCAACAGCTTCACATTCACTTCTGTGAGATAGATAGTTGAAATTGCTCATCTGATGCATTCTGGCATTACAGTTTAGCAAAGATGGCTTGTTTTAATTAACTTGAGATAGTTTGTGCATTCGGAGATTAAACCATAGGTGGATTGGAAGCTTTTGTAGCTACTACAGGTAGTCCTCGATTTAAAGTCACAATTGAAAGTGGAATGTAAATCACTAAATGATATGGTCATGAAGTGAGTTATCATGTAACCAGACCTGGATTGACAACCATGTTCACCATGGTTAAGCAAACCATGACTCTGGCTTCCCCAATTAACTTTGCTTGTAGAAGTTGGCTGGGAAGGTGGCCATGTTGTGTTTGCAAATTGCTCCAAATTGTTGTAAACGAGACCAGGTTACCAAGTGCCCGGATGATGATCTCATGATGTACAACAGTCAACTTTGAGGCCAGGTTGTGGCAAATCACTTTTTCCAAGGCCATCCTAACTTTGAACTGTCATCAAACAAAACAATCATAAATCAAGGCCTACTCTGTAAATTGGGTGTGTTGCTTTCCCCCACTTCATTAGCTGGGCATAAATTCTGGTTTGCTTTCTGCAGCAGAGAGTAAGTATGCAGGAGGCAATCCGGTATGTGTGAGGCCAACTCCACCTTGGCAAAAAGGCATCGGAGAGTTCTTCAGGCAAACTCCAAATCGTCGGGAAAAGGAGAACCACAACTCGGAGGAGGAGCCAGGGTGCAGCGAAATAGGAAAACGCAGGAAGAAGTAAGGATGGCTATCTGCGCATTCCTAAGTGGCAAAACAGCTGCCAGAGTATTCAAGGTTTCATGTTCTATAGAACGGCAGTCTCCAACCGTGGCAACTTTAAGACTTGTGGACTTCAACACCCAGAATGTGCTGACTGAGGACTTCTGGGAGTTGAAGTCCACAAGTTTTAAAGTTGCCAAGGTTGGAGACTCCTGTTCTATAGAAGAATTGTCTGTATAAATTCTCAGTCATCCGTGTCATGATTGTCCCAAAGGTGCTTTTTCAGGAGGCAACTGGACTTATGTTTTTTTTCTTTGAAGAAGCTTCATTTCTCATCCAAGAAGCTTCTTCAGCTCTGTCTGGATGGTGGGGAATGGAAGGATTTATGTTCCTTGCAGTCAGCTGGTCATTTGCGTCCTTTTTGAGGGCCACTGAAGCACTTGGATGTTTAGCTGTATCCTCTATAGAACAATTGGTGAAGCATGTTTTTAAACTTCTACCTCACTTGATCTAACCACCTTAGTTACTGCTCAGTGAAAATGACAATTCACTACCCTTGTTTACTCGGTACAGCATGAGTTTTGGAGAATCCATGTCTAAAATGGATTTTTACTAGGTATTAGGGGGCATATGTTTTGGGAATTTTATTTTTTTCAGTGAGACCACACAGTGAAGCTTTGCTTCATTGCTTTTTGCAAATTGCTTTTTAAAATAGTGCTTCCAGCATTACCTAGTTTAGTGTTTCTCTACCTTGGCAACTTTAAGTTGTTTTATGGACTGCTACTCCCATAAGAGTTGGCTGGCAAATTCTGGGAGTTGAAGTCCATAAAGCTTAAAAGTTGCCAAGGTTGAGAAACACTGACCTAGATAATAGAATTTTCGACCTGTGCTTTGTTTCAATAGACCTTGTTCTGAAATCTTTATTCAGGGCAACACAAAAAGAAGGAAGTAACTGTGTGACACAGGGGGCTTGTAGGTTGCTAATCTAACTGGAAAACAGATTCCAGTTCAAGATGAAGACTGCATGCCTTTACGATATTTTTAGTCTCTTCTAAGGGCCCAGCTATTGAAAATATAGTTTACTGGAATTTTAGAAATAGGAAGGATTACTGACTTGTATTATTTTCTCCCCCATTGACAGAGTACGTCCTTTGCCTCCTTGTCCTGCAGAACAGGAAGAATCTGAAGATGATCAAATGTGAGCTGATCCTGGATCTGCAAGGAGATCTTCTGCTCCCAGAGCATTATGTATAGGCTGTATATATACTGCATATATTCCGTTTGAATTTGAGTCTTGATAAGCATCTGGCATGCTATTCTGTTGACTAAAATAACTTAAAAGTTGACAGACTAAAAAAAAAAAGTCAGGTCATTGATACAATGCTCTTAATACTTGTGTTTTAATGATTCTGAACTAGTAACTAGATGCTTTGTATTAAATTCGTTGTGCTTTAAGCACTTATTAAAGTTCTGACCCATATCAGTGTTAAATAACATTCTTATGCTTCTGTAAAAAAAAAAATCTACTTGTTGCTACGCTGAATACCTAGTTTTCTTCCCTGTAAACTAGAAAATGCTGAACGAATAATTCTTTTGGATTTAAAAGAAACAAGGCCCAAGAAATGTACCTCATTACAGTGGCAGAATGGTAGAATTTCTACATGGCTCTGTATAACAACTTGAATAGGCCAAATTTTGGTACGAAGGCAACACGAAGCGCAGAATTGCTGATATTAGAAACAACCTATTAATGCTTCTAAAGATTTTCCAGTTCACTTCCATCTTTGTTTTGCAGCATTGGAGGTTTGGTTAAAATCTTTTCTGATTAACCAATTACTACATTACTTGTAATTGTGGAATTGGCCTAATAAAGATATAACACAGTTTTATAGAATTCAGCACAGCTGTCCTTGTTTTTATCTGGGTAATTGATTAGTCTATGTGCAGACTGCAATTAGTTCTTAAATGACGATTTTAAAGATTCATACTGTACTTGTATCAAATTTTGTGGCAGTGGAAAAGATTAAAAAAGGTTCATTTTCAGCATATTCTGGCCCAATATTCTTCAACTGCTTAGAGAGCAGAGTTTCCAGAATACCCATTATATCTAAAGGCAGTTGGGTTTGAAGTCAGAATACATCTCTTCTGCTCCTTTGTAAGGTGCTATAAGTTTCTTAGCTTTTAATGTAGGATGAGATTCTTATTAATTCAGCAAAACTTTTTATGAAATCTTTAGGCTGAAGTTGAGCAATGTTTTAAGACCCTCCAGAATGCCACAGTGATATTTGTGGGATATGAATAGAATAGAATAGAATACTTTATTGGCCAAGTGTGATCGGACACACAAGGAATTTGTCTTGGTGTAAATACTCTCAGTATACATAAAGAAAAGGTACATTCGTTAATCAAGAATCATAATGTACAACACTTAATGATAGTCATAGGGTACAATCAACAGACAAATCATACCAGGAAACAATCAAGTGGGAGGGAATGGGTGATAAGGAGTGGTGAGAAGATTAACAGTCATAGTAGTGTACACTTTGTAAATAGTTGAACAGTGTTGTGGGCATTATTTGTTTAGCAGAGTGATGGCTTTCAGGAAAAAACTGTCCTTGTGTCTAGTTCTGGTGTGCAGTGCTGTATAGCGTCGTTTTGAGGGAAGGAGTTGAAACAGTTTATATCCGGGATGTGAGGGGTCTGTAAATATTTTCACAGCCTCTTTTTGACTCGTGCAGTATACAGGTCCTCAATTGAAGGCAGGTGGGTAGTAATTGTTTTTTCTGCAGTCCTAATTATCCTCGAGTCTGGGTCTGTCCTGTTGGGTTTCAGAACCAAACCAGACAGTTATAGAGGTGCAGATGATAGACTCAATAATTCCTCTGGGCAGTTTGAGCTTTCTGAATAGGCGCAGAAAGAACATTCTTTGTTGTGCTTTTTTGATGATGTTTTTGATGTTAAGTGTCCATTTTAGGTCATGTGATATAGTAGAACCTAGAAATTTGAAGGTCTCTACTGTTGTTACTGTGTTGTCTAGTATTGTAAGAGGTGGTAGTATAGGAGGGTTTCTTCTAAAGTCTACCACCGTTTCTACGGTTTTGAGTGTGTTCAGTTCCAGATTGTTCCGGTTACACCATGAGGCAAGTTGTATAACCTCCTGTCTGTATGCAGATTCATCATTGTCTCGAAAGACCAATTACTGTTGTGTCATCAGCAAACTTCAGTATTTTAAAAGATGGATCATTTGAGATGCAGTCATTGGTATATAGGGAGAAGAGAAGTGGAGATAGCACATAGCTTTGGGGCCCCTGTGCTGATTGTACAGGTATCGGATGTGATTCCACCTAGCTTCACCTGCTGCTTCCTGTCTGTTAGGAAGCTTATGATCCACCTACAAGTGTGTTCAGGTACTGCTAGTTGGTATGTCCAAAAAGTCAAAGACAGCCATGTTATTTTTTTAAAAAATGGAGTTCACGTTAATAATAAAAGTTTGTCTCTTCAATTGGACCATTGTGGCTATCATCTTGCCTGCTGACTGGATAATTCTTGGATTTGAGGTCCATCCATCTTTAAAATGGCCCAGGTTGAAAAAAATACTGCTGTGAAATATGATTGCCTCACTTGGATGCACAAACACCAACTTTGTGCAAACAGCGGAAGCCAGTGTGAAATATGGATGTTTTGCACGATGACAATCTTCATGGTGTGCAGGGCTACCTCTCCCTCGCCCAGTACCCCTTATTTTGGGGGGTGGAACGTAAAAAAGCTTTACCCTTGTCCCTTCTTGACTCTTGACAAATGTATCTTTTCTTTGATGTACACGGAGAGCATTTGCACCAAGACAAATTCCTTGTGTGTCCAATCACACTTGGCCAATA